TTTAATGATACTCGATTTGCTCAGGAAAGGAGTTCTAGCAGCTCTGAGACAACTAGGCGTACGGCTAAATTCAATGAATGGGTTGAAGACATGGATTTCCTGGAAATAGAGTTTTGTGGACCTAATCATACTTGGGCTAGAGGTAACAGTATCGAGACTCGAACAAGTGCCCGCCTTGACAGGGCCCTTTGTAATTCGGAATGGAGCCTCCGCTTTGCTAATGCTGCTGGGAAAAATCTACCTGCCGTTCAATCGGACCACTGCCCAATCTTAATATCGCCTAATGGTTTTGCTCCCGTCGCTTCAATAAATAAACCTTTCAAGTTTCAAGCAGCATGGTTAACCCATGACAATTTTCGTGATTTTATTGAGACAAAGTGGGATAAATCGATCCCTTTAGTTCCTCTTTTGAAAAAAGTGGGTGATGATTTACAGGAGTGGAATAGAGACATATTTCACAATATTTTTAAGAAGAAGAGGAATTTATTATCTCGCATTTCAAAAGTGCAACGCTGTTTGGCTGAGCAACGTTCGAGGGATTTAATAAAACTCGAATCTAAACTACGCAAAGACCTTGATGAAGTACTAGAGCAGGAGGAATTCCTTCGTTATCAAAAATCTCGTGTTGAATGGATAAGGGATGGGGATCGAAATACATCCTACTTCCACCTTAGCACAATAGCAAGAAGATGGAGGAATAATATTACAGCTATTAAGGACATCGATAGTGGCGAGTGGCTGTACGAAAAGGAACAAATCCAACAAAATATTGTATCCTACTTCCAGAAATTATTTGAAGCCGATGAACATCAAAGCCTCGGCCCGCTGCCTTCTGGAATTTTTCCAGAATTTACCCCAAGAGATTGGGACATGCTATCGAGGCCCTTCGCAAGATGTGAAGTTGAACGAGCTGTGTTTGAAATGGGTGCGATGAAAGCCCCAGGACCGGATGGATTTCAGGCTTTATTTTTCCAAAAACACTGGGACTTGGTGGTTGATAATGTATATAAGGTTGCACTTGATGCTTTGAATGGTAAAGGCTTGCCGGACACTTTGAATGAAACTTTTATTGTGTTTATTCCTAAGGTTGATACTCCAGAGGTAGCCACTCAATTTAGACCCATTAGTCTTTGTAATGTTGCATATAAAGTCATTACAAAGACTATTGTGAATAGAATTAAACCAATGATGCCACATTTAACCTCTTGTACACAAACTAGCTTTGTTTCGGGAAGACAAATTACTGACAACATAGTTATTGTCCAAGAAATTATTCATACAATGAGAAAAAAGAGAAGTGGAAAGGGTCTCATGGCGATTAAGATTGATTTTGAAAAGGCTTACGATAGACTCCAGTGGGATTTCATTAGAGATACTCTCTATGAAATTCTCCTTCCCCCTATGATGATCGATCTTATTATGGAATGTATCACGACATCTTCTATGAGGGTGTTATGGAATGGTGAACCGACTCAAGTTTTCAAATCGGGAAGAGGAATCAGGCAAGGTGACCCTCTTTCACCATATATTTTTGTATTATGTATGGAACGGTTGAATCAAATAATTGAGGAATCAATCATTGAGGATCGATGGAAACCTATTTATGCAAGTAGGAACGGGCCGAAACTTTCCAACCTATGTTTCGCAGATGATATCATCTTGTTCGCAGAGGCTACGGTGGAGCAAGTAATGGTAATTCAAGAATGTCTAGCTAGATTTTGCAGTGCTTCGGGGCAAAAGATTAGCTATCCTAAATCAAGGGTATATTTTTCTCAGAATGTCTTTGGATAAAATTTCATAAATTTGTCATGCCTTGGGTATTGATGAAACGGAGGATTTGGGAACGTACCTTGGCATGCCTGCTCTTACTAGTAGGGTTTCTCGGGATACATTTTCTTACTTGTGTGAAAAAATAGACAGAAGACTTGCTGGTTGGAAATCAAAGTATATTTCTATGGCTGGGCGAATTACTCTAGCTAAGACTACTTTGACAACAATGAGCTCCTACGCAATGCAAACTGCTAGAATCCCCAAATCTATTTGTGATGAGATTGATAAAAAAATTAGAAGATTTATTTGGAGAGGTGATGAAGAGCACAGAAAAATCCACTTATTGTCTTGGGATTTTTTGCAAAAATCGAAAGAACAAGGAGGTCTGGGAATTAGATCAGCCCGTCAAACTAATGCGGCTTTCTTGACTAAATTAGGATGGCGGGTTTTAACTGAACCAAATGCTTTATGGGCTCGTGTACTACGAGCAAAATATTGCAAAGGAAGGTGTGATATTGATATGTTTGAGCCTAAAGTTAATATGTCAAATGTTTGGAAAGGGATTTCTGAAAATTCAACCTTCATCTCGGCTGGTTCGAGGGTGGCTATAGGGAATGGAGCGTCTACCCTCTTTTGGGATCATAACTGGGCTATGGCCAAGCCCCTTCGTACAACTGTGACTGAGGACATACCAGAACACCTCGATGGTGCCACGGTTGAAGAGCTTTGGGATGAGGAAATGGGGTGGAAATGGGATTTATTTGCTGTCTATTACCTCCAGATATCCTTCGTCTAATCGAAGCTCATGCATTGAGAAAAGAAAATGATGTGGGCGATTTGCTTTATTGGGGAGGAGGAACAAAGGGGAAATTTTCTATAAAATCAGCCATGCGCATTATAAGGAGGGATGATGATCTGGGGAATGATGGCTCATGGGATTTAATCTGGAAGCTTAGAGTGCAAACCCTAGTTAAGGTCTTCCTATGGTTAGCATTACATGATCGTTTGATGACAAATGCAAACAGGCTTAAGCGTAATCTCACATATTCTCCATGGTGTAAAACATGTAACACAAATGAAGAGACTACCCTTCATGTATTGCGTGACTGCCAGGCTGCCAGGGAGGTATGGAGGCAAGTTGGAGGTCCAACACAAGCCCCGAACTTTCATCAAGGGACTTTGAAGCAATGGATAGTTCGAAACATCAAATACCAAGTTAGAAATAATCTCTCCACTGAAGTATGGCCAACGTATTTTGTTATTTCATTGTGGTGGATTTGGAGATGGAGGAATAGTGTTGTGTTCGATAGAACAAATGAAATTCCTATTGATATCAATCAATTTCTTCTTACAAGGTTCGAGGAGGTGTGGCGTATACTAGGGCATGAGTACCCTGCTGACTCACAGCATCACAGGACAAGAACAGAGCTACTTGTTCGATGGATAGCTCCTCCGGATGGTTGGCTAGCATTGAATACGGATGGAGCAGCAAAAGGTGTGCCAGGCCCGGCTGGAAGTGGAGGAATTATTCGTGATTCCACTGGAAGAATGCTTCATGCATTTGCACTCAAAATTGGTAACTGTGATGCGTATATGGCTGAACTGAAGGCGGTTGAATATGGGTTGGAATTGGCAAAGAGAATGAACACTACCAAACTTCGAATACAAATTGACAGCCAACTAGTGGTGGCTGCCTTGAGGAATGAAGAGATCAACCGAGGACAGGGGTACCATATAATTCGTCACTGCAAGCAACTTATAGAGGATATTAATTGGCAAACCCAAATTATCCATATTTATCGCGAAGCAAATAAAGCGGCTGACTGGCTAGCAAATCAAGGGGTCATCCAGAACAACAATATCGAGTTGATTCAATTCCCTCCTATAGAATTAGGACATATATTGCATGATGATATTGTTGGAGTGGCTTGGCCACGTTTAGTTCCTATTTAGTCTTTTATTTTCTGTTTTTTCTTTCTCGAGGCTTTGCCTCTCATTCGCATCAAAAAAAAAATAATGTATTAAAATATCTAATATAATAAAAAATCATTGTATGAATATAATTATGGACATAAGGAAAGAATATAGTTTTAAAAATTAATTGTACATTACAAACAACTATAAAGTACATCATGTTTTCTAATAAAGAACATTATTAAATCACATATAGAACATCACAAGAAATATATAAACTGAACCTAAAATAAATATCATAACTATATAATTGGTGAAAAATATGAACGAAATAAAAAATTAAGCTGATGTTCTTTTCGTAACTTCCCCAAAATTATCTCCTTATTGATTATGTTCTTTTTCACAACCGTAATGTACTTTACAATTGCCATGTTCTTTGAAATTAAGTTGATGTTCTTTTCGTCTTTTTGAGAACATACTAAAATTTAAAATTTGAAATTTTGAAAATGAAATTAAAATTTTGAAAATGAAATTAAAATTTTGAAATTTAAAAACGAAAACTTAAATTACTGTTGGGTGAATTGTTACAGAATAAAAAAAATTTACAAAATCTTATGATTTTCTAAAACTGATTTTGGAAAATGATAAGATACAAAAAAAATTTACAAAATCTTATGATTTTCCAAAACTGATTTTGGAAAATGATAAGATTTTGTAAAAATTTTATCAGTTAATGTGAGTCATGGGTAGATATTTTCCCGTAGTTAATGGTTCATGCTGAGAAAATCTCGCATTCTTTTTATATTAACTTGATGTTCTTTAGAATATGCATGTTCTTTCTCAACTAACATGATGTTCTTTCCGCCTTTTTTTTTTGTTATTTGCTGCCTGATTTTTATGAAGAAAACGACGTCGTTTTTGCCAGGTGTACCATGCACATGGTACACCGTGTGTACAGATCAGGGATTATCTTTTATCCTCTCCCTTCCATCATAAATTCATAACAACATGACGAGTTTACATAATAAATTTTGGCTCACCATAGGACACGAGAGCTTACAAATGAATTTCGCCTAATTTTCTTTGGCTTAATTATCACCAAATTTTCAACATTTTAAATAAAAATAAGATAAATATAAAACAACAGTATTAGAAGAGCAACTGGGAAAGCTAGGTATGTCCAATAATGAGGCAATGATCTTGTACCAAATAGATTGTTCAATGGACTATGCACTAAATTAAACCCTGGCCATCAAATAAATCAAATCTTTGTATAGTTATTTACTCCGTAATATGAAAATTGCACGAGTAGTAACTAAAATAAATGTATGTCTCTAAAGATTCCCCTTGCTCAATTTTTTTTTTTTTTTACAAGACAAATTATAAAAATAAGAAGAAATTTTAACAACAGAGGAAGTAATTTTTATTGCTAATGCATGAATTGATTTTTTGCGCTAAAAGTTTGGCCATAGTTCCAAAATGAAGGCACAACATTGTTAAAAGTCATAGTTTTGCCATCCACCAAAGTGAGTTTGAAAGAGAGCATTTGGTTCCTTAGGTCTTTACTGCTTTGCCAATTTACACCCCAATTCCTGGACATAGGCACCCATCTTTTGGCCTTGGAACTTCTCACCCAACTCGCCTTCACGTCTCCACTACCACCGACGTTGGAGATCATCACCATGTTGAAGTTCCCTTGCCCTCTCATTGTGAATCGGACTCCGCCTCGCCTATGGCATGATACCCTATATTTTATGTTCATCAAGCATACAAAATTAGTTACTAGACAATTATTTTAACTACCATGCACGTACGCACAAGGCATGCATGTACATTAAAAGACCATAGTATGTAAGCAAAAGATGAGGAAACCAAATACTATATACCATATACTTTCTCTTTTTCTTTTTACTAGCAACTTTTTAGGCACGCAGTTTTAGGAGATGATTAGTAAAAGTAAACGAGCATTTTTATTAACGAACATTTTTATTAAAATAATTTTAACACGAGGATTAAAGTAAAGTTAGGTATCATGTATAAAAATTATATTGAATAATTTAGGCATTTGCATTATAAAATTTTGACCTCAAATCGCGTGCAACAAGTATGTGTTGCAAGTATAAAAACAGAGAAAGTATATATTATAATCTTCTTTTGGATTTTTGGATTAGATTTTTACGTTACAAGTTCATTCAAATCACACCAACTAACATTTTATTAATGTAACATTTATTTTAGATGAACATGCATGCACCAACATACACTAACATTATCAAGTATTCAATTTTTTTTTTTTTTTGACAAGAATCAAGTATTCAATTTTAATGTAAATAAGGTTTAAGTATACCTTCTGAAAACGATGGGGATAATGCCTTCATTGCCTGGTCGAGCAATACGAAGGAAAGAAGGCATGGCCATGTCAAAGTGTTGGCGAGGAGGGTCACACCACCCACCTTGGTTGTTAGGTGGGCAAAAGTTGGTGGCAGTCACGGTGACCCCTCGCCCTCGAAGGCACCACTTGGGATCGGCCTTATAGTCACACTTAACTTGGTAGCACGCTCCACATGCCTCCCCACTCCTAAACAACACACCGCTTAATGCCGTTGTGTGGACTCCAAATCCAGCGTGTATGGTGTTGTCGTAGCCACAAGCTCCCCCTAGTAGTAGGGATATTAAATTAAATTAGACAGTATATTATTTATTGTACCTGATTATAATAATTTTTGAAATTATTGTGATCTTCTTGATTAATTATCACCATAAAAAATTATTACTCAAGCTTGAATTGAACTCCTTGCTATCAGTTTGACATATTTATATCTATACTTTATTTTCTAAAAATTGTTCCTAAAAACATTTATGTGTCACGTGGCATACATCCTCCTAATAAACTTTCATTATTCAACAAATTAAGTTAAAAATGCTTATCGTAAGGCTAGGTTTTAACTCATCAAGACCACTAAAATGAAAATAAAAAAATTACCATCACAAATACTAATAAATCATATCATGTTGTTATATTCGACTTATGTATGGATTGGCCTAGAGAGCATTTGATTACAATTATTTTGTAAAATCAATTCTATTATTTGCTAATACTCATTGAGATTATAAGTTGTAAGACAGATAACATATTGTTAAATAATAACCTTAGTTGTTTAATTATCGTAGTAAGTATGTCTTTGTTTCAATATATCAATATACACATATATAATGTAATACGTTTATCATTAGTTAGTCAATAGTTGTTGAATGTACTTGAATAATAACCTAGCATTAGTTCTGCCAAAAGTATTTATTAATCGATTCAACATTTGCAAAAAAAGACTAATTAACGATACATAGATTAGTTTAATCCACGGCAAGCAAGTTAGCTACATACGTCTCATTGCCTTTAATTTTGTTAGAAAGTTAATACTTTTAACAATTTAAATGAATATTTGATAGTAATAATAAGCTTACCAAGAGTGGCAGGACTTTGATTAGCTCCATAAAATGTAGCATGACCATTAGACCAACGATTAGCATGACGACGACCATTGACACCATCAAACATAATTCCTAAGAAAAAGATTGAATAAATTACCAAAACACATGTAACTTCCATAACCTTCTTAGCCATTTTAATTAATATTACGTTTAGATTATTTTCTTCAAGAAGAATTAATCCAAAATTAGTACGTAACACTTGAATTGCATAGTTGATACTTGAGCTTTCATTTTATAGGGAAAAAAAAAGGTGGTTGTTGTCGGTGAATTAACAATTAATAAATTAAAATTTCACAATTCTTTTTTCACTATTAATACGGAATAGTATCATGAAATTATAAATATTATTATAATTATATAAATAAATATGTCTTTCTACATATTTTGCACTTTGATTTTTTGTCAGAAAAATTGAATGGAATGATGGATATTTGATAAATAATATGGAGGAATAATTAATTAATTTTAAACGCGTTTTCTTGCTCGTAGAATCGAAGATTCCTTAAAGTACGGTGAGTAAGGAAGTTTCGATGAGTACGGAGAGATACGGCAGATTGTTACAATTAAGAACAAGGTTAGAACATTTGCATGTGGTGGTTTTAATTTTAATGCAATAGAATTTGATTTTTCTAGATATATTATATGCATTTAGCAATTTTAAGTTGATGAGAATTATTCCTTATCAACTTGCCGAATATCATTAATTATTTTAAACTACTTTTCGGATATACTATGGTCCGATCAATTGTTGTTTATAAAATGTAGTTTCGGTACAGTCGGACCACCCATGTCACAAACATTCATTAAATAACTTTTACTATACGTAGGTAAATATACAATATGATTAATATAATTGAGAGTAAAGAGAGAGATCAGGAAATTTAATCATCACCATACTCTCAAGCAAATGTAGTTGATAGAGAATAGAGATCCATGTGACGTACGAAGTGTATGCTTTGTGACAACTATTTGTTTTTTGTGTATGTCTCGAGTTAACTAGTTATGTTGTCAAAATGGAGCTATTGTGAATTTGTGAGCTTCTTTTTTTTTTCTTTTTTTCTTTTTTTTTTTTTTTTTTTTTGTAAACCCTTAATATAAAGATGCCTCAAACTGAATTTAGACATCAAATATAAATGCGGCATAGAATACCCACTTGTCCACATTATTTTGCATGTAATCACTTTCATTATTGTCCAACAAGCAAATTTTTGATGAAGAGGTTCAAGATTTTATTAGTAGAATCAGAATTGAATAATATATGAAATATTGTTTAAGTATCTGTTAATTGATTATGGATCGATACAATCAATTATTGCGAGATTATGCATCAAGGCGATTTAATAATTAAGTTATTAGTCTTATTACTTTCGGGTTCTTTCAATTCATAACTAGAGAAGACATTATACAAGTAATGTACTAATACTTTCTTCAAATAATTTTCAGACAGCCAATAAAGTTAAAGAGAAGTTAAATACAACTTTTAAATCCAAAAAATGAAATTTATTTAACCATTTTTTACATAATGACTTATTTAAACTTTTTTTTTTTTTTACAAAATGACTTATTTAAACTAAATTGGACTAAACTTGACAAATTGACCCAAACTCGATTACCCGATCTGAACCCAAGTAAAGAGTTGAAGTGGCCTAAATCGAAACCTGACCCAACCAACCCTAAGTGAACTTCCTATTGACCTGATATCCAAAGTGACCCAACCCACAAGTTACTCGAGATAACCAAAGTGATGACCAAACTTGATTTTAACCTAATTTATTTGACTCGACATATTTGATACCCAAAGTAACCCAAATTAAAAGTAATTTGATACCTGAAATAACCCGAATTGAAATTACCAAGCACCAAAAATGGCATGAACTAGTTTCAATCCAACTTATATGATTTGAATAAACTTTGAAACCAAACCAACTCAATTTCATTTTTCTTTTTTTTTTTGGGGGGCCGGGAGGGAGGGGGGGGAATATGTTGTGAAAAAATTGCATATTTTGAGTATTTTTTTTCTTCCCCCCCTCTGCTCTATTGAGTTTATAACTTCCTTCCTTGTACTCCATTGTATTATAACAACGTGGTTAAAGCTAACAAATGTGAGATATATTACTGATCCCTGCTACATACCAAAAGAAATGAATCAATCTGAACTTGACCTAAAGCCTTGACCAAAAACCCAACTGAACCTAAATGACCTGATTCAAACTTTTGATCCGAACTTGACCAAAGTCTTTAACCGATGTATACAAAGTGACCAGATTTGAACTTGACCATATATGTCTCAACCCAAACCCAACCGACCTGGTTTATTATCAATATAGACCTAAACAGAAATCCAAATTGATCTAAACTCAACTCGATAGCATAATGACTTGAAATAACCCGACCCAAACGATCTGATTATCAGGTCAAACTAAACTAATTTGAACTTTTTATGAATTTACATTATCTTATTATTAGATCGACTATGGTTTTTATCATCATTTACTTAAATTGTATATTAAACTTGAAAAAATCTAATTAATCTTTTTAAAAATAATTTGAACTTACATAATCTCTTTGTTAACTAAACTAAACTTAGTTCTTCTAAAATGAGTAGAAATAGGGTGATTAAATTTAGAATCTTAAGGAAAAAGAAATTAAATTGTAAGGTTGATATCAATTGCAAGACTTGCAACCAAAAGTAACAATTAGGCTATCAAAAAAAACTTTTAAATAAAAATAAAATTACAAACAGTAACAACTACGAGTACTTTTTAAACTCTCAAACTCTATAGTGAATATCAACATCAAATTACTACTTGTGCTAAGATTCTGCTTACTGCTAAGGCAAACCAAATAAGAGAAAAAGGAGACAAAAAGAATACAGAGTACAGACTAATACGAAGTAAAGTAATAAAAAGGGATTTTTATGGTGAAGATGGCTTGAGAAAGTTGAGGGAATTGAAAAGAGTTCGATGAAAAAAAAAAAATACTAAAAGGGAAAGAAATTATTGAAGAAATACAAGCAAAAGCAACTTATGCAGATGTCATGTAACATGGATATGATAAATTTTCAACATTGTGAGTTGTAAATATAATCATCAAAGCAAATCCGTCCACAAAACTTCCCTCATTCACACCATAAATTCTTTTAGAAAAAACAATGCACCACTTCTCCTTCGGGAATAATGCGTAGTAGTATCAACTTCATGATCTTCAATTCTTAACTTTTAAAAGCTACCAAGTACGAGTAGTTTTCAATTTTCAATCAGTGTTGTCACTTAATCATGTCCTATACGAAGTACGTAGTATTATAGAAGCATTATTTAAAACTCAATTATTGTTACAACTTGATACAGGTTAATAATCTTATACTCCCCCCGTTTTTAAATACTTGCTCCATTTGAGATCATTTTTTCAGCGCGGAGTTTTTGAAGAAATTAGAGAAAATAATAAAAATATGGAGGCAGTGGGATATGTAGAAAAATAAAAAATTGTAAAAAGGAATAGCAGTGGAGAGAATTGGAGAGGAAATATGAAATTAATATACTTCGTAATATGAATCATGGTGGGTCCACTAGGTGAGATAAACTAATTAAATATTGTAAAAACTTTCCAAATAAAGAAATGAAGCAAGTATTTAAAAATGGCTGCAAATGTAAAGTGGAGCAAGTATTTTAAACATGGATGGAGTAATATGTAGTATAATTTAGTTACACACTTATCTTATCACGTTTGTTAATGTATAAGAGTATAAATTATTAGAACTAGTTAATGCCCGAGCTATGCTCAGGTTTTTCAATTTTTACATGGCTGGATTATTTTTATGCATAACATGAAAGATAAAATTTGTATAATGATTTACTTAGTCGTTAATAACTGGAATTACGGGAAAATTTTTAATATAGTGTTGACACATGAAATGTAAGAATTATTTTGGGGATTACTTTAGTATATTAGAATAGATTACACTTGCAAGTTGCAACATATAACCTTTGTTTTTTTATTGACGTGTTTTGAATTTAACAATATTTACACACTTCTTTTTCATAATGTTTGGTGATTTATATACTACTATAATAATATATATATATATATATGTAGTCATATTAGATCTTGTTAGATTCATCATGAATAAATTTTCAAAAAATTAATTTTTTTTTTATAATTTTTGTTTATTGGTAGTTAATGATATTTAGGGTTAAATTTATGCATTTACAAACATAACTAAAGAAACATGTTAACTAAAATTCTAAAAACAAACGAAGAATAAATATAGCAAAATAAAAACCAAAAAATGAACTAACAATTTATACCCAATTGAGAGCTTGAGCCCAATATAACATGGCTAAACCTGTTTACACCCTGACCCACTTCAACCGGATACAAATATGACCGCACCTGATCTGCTACTTTTTATAACCAATTCAAACCCACCCGCTAAGTCACCAACCAAATGAACTCGGTAAAGCTCAGCCCATTTCAGCATGTGACCCGTTTAAACTCAACCCTGATATAAACATAATCTCACTATAAACAGGCTAAACCGGTTTATAAACTAGCCATATCAACTGAAACCAAATTTGTCTGCTCAATTACAACTCAACCCAATTATAGCCCGAACCGATTTGAAATCATGTCAAAAAAAATAACCAAACCGACCCACCAACCAATTTAACTCTTTTCAACCCAAAACTCTTAAACCAACCCTTGAACTGCTACTCTGAAATTCTCTTTAAAAAGTAGACATATTTTATACTTCATGCATAAAACATTAGCTTAAACTGGAGCTGGAGGCTAAAATCAATACAAAGAATATCTAATGAGCAAGGAACTATTGACCTCAAAAAGAACAATCTCATGAGAGGGATTACAGATAATCAGTAATTTATTCGACGGACAGTAGTATTATTCACAATCAATATTCGAATGAAATTTTTGCCAAGTTCACTTCCATAACCAGAGACACCCTGCAGTACATTGGAATGGTTGGAAGCATTACTAACACCTGATCCAAGCTCATTTTTACACTTCCTTTCTAAGGAGTTTCAACAACTCAATAACGTGGAGTGGTAGTATTCTACAATCTTTACAACTATACAAAAAAACTGACATTTTTCAGAACAGAAGCAGGCATAAGACTACACAACACAAAAGAAACTTTGACACTCTATCGAGGGACTTATCTAGCTGAAGCTCCTGCCTCCGCATACGAGGGTTGTTATGCCCATTGATAGCATATGAATTCGAACGAGGAGAGGTGAACAAGTTGGTACCTGTGCTTCCAAGCATCCTTGTGTATACCAACTCTCCGAGTAATCCAATTGTGGGATTAAGAATTGATGTACACATTCTATACCATATTTTACCCTCATTTTATATCTATGTTCGTATGATTTCTAAGCTCTACGGAGCTATTTCTCGCTAATATCCTCCTCTCTAGTGTGGCTTGGTCTATTTGATTGATTTTGTAGGCATATGAAGATTTCCAAATGATTTGGACTTGTTTTGGATAGCCACGAAAGCTTATTAAGATGGAGGAGAATTTTACCCGTGTCCGCCCTGGAGGGCAACATTGCCCTGGCAGCCAGGGCGAAGAAGGAAATTAAGGAAGGAGAAGAGAAGAGTAAAGTAGTACATAAATGTATCTTACCCCCGTCGCCCTGGCAGGGCAAGGTTGCCCGGGCAGACCGGGCAAGTGAAGTTATCAACATTATAAGCTCCGAAAGTCAGATTTTCTACTTGATGCTTCTCGCACCCGACCGGGCGGTTTTGCCCGGTCAGACCGGGCGGAGTGTCGAAGACCGCGTTTTCCTATTTTTTTCGGGTTTTCTTAATTAAGGGATATAAATACCCTTTGTAAACCCCGACTTCAGATACTTAGTTATTATTTTCTAACTTTAAAACATTCATTAGAACCCTAATATTCTCTCGAGATCTAGATTACATTCTACTTTCAAGTTTTAATCTTTATTCATCAACAATTGGTACTTTTCTTCATTCAAGCAATTGGTATTCATCTTTAATTCTTCTTTTACTTTTAATTGCTTATTAATCATGTTTTGTTCATTGAATATTGTCTTCGCTTTCATTAATATGTGTGAGTAGTTCCTTTATTCCAAGATCTAGCGGAACCCGAATATGATTAATGCATGATTTAATTCTTTAAATTCTCTAATAATAATTGTAATTGATATGCTTAATTGATTGTGCTTATGTCAATACTAGATTAGGGATAATTGGTATTGTTATTAATCTTTTGTTTTAATCGCAACGGAAGTTGGGTTTTGACGAATTTGAATAAATCAATTAAGGGTTTGAAGTTCATCACGAGAGTAGTTGAATGGATGATTAGGAAGTTAAAGTAATGTTCTTAAGGTTTTTAATTTACATGATTCCACGGAAATAGGCTTGATTGTGATTAGAGAAGTCATTGATAACTCGGGAGAGACCATTGGTATTATTCATGGATTACTTTTCCTCATTAATCAATTGAATTATGTGTTAGGGGTAGAACGACTATTGCATTAATTGTATTCGTGGTGATGCTTGATCTTGAATGTTTTTAGCATTGATTTGTCATATTGTTTTGATTTAATCGTTTTAATTAGTTATTTAATTATTAATTCTCATTCATTTGATTTGGTTACTTTCTTAGTAATTGCTTGAGTCTATTTAATTAGTTGAACCATAGTCTCTTGGGATCAGACCCTTGCTTGCCCGTCTACATAGTAGTGGTCTAGTTAGATTTATTTTTGTTAGGTACGCGACACGCCTATCAAGAATCCCAGCCATAGTAGGACTCACATAATTTGAAGATGATATTGAGGCATAACGGAACTCTGGGTGTTGCGATTCAAAAGGATTTGATGGAAGATGTTGACTTGAAGGAGAATTTGCTGCAGGTCTTGGAGGTATAACATCATGTTGAGACTTCCTAACCTCATCTTCACTTCGGGAAGGGCCATGGCAGTAAAGGGGAATCAATGAAGTTTGTGAGATGTTTGCCTTACAGACAGGGCAAGTCTTTTGTTGAGTTGGCTGTGAGGAGGAGCTTTGGACATGGAGCCACTTGAAAATACAAGCCCAGCAGTAGAGGTGACCACAGAGTGTGACAACAGGATCGTGAGCCAAGTCAAAGCATATATTGCAGTCAAAAGACCCTTGACTACTTTCAGATTCTGTGGGTGGAGCTACACCAGAATTACAACTTTTATTCACCATTGCATCTCCGCCCGATTGTTGGAAGTTATGAATCAAGTCCATCCCTATTAAGATATATGGTAACCTTAAATCAGCTAATCAAACAGGAAAAGATGTGTTGAGGAAAGATTTGCATGCAAGAACATGATAGAGAGCTTATATTTCAACTTTCAATCTATAAATATAACTTAAGTAACAACCGCTGACATCATCCCCTATTTAAATTTTACAAATGTCAAGTTGTGGTAAAAAAATTTCCCTCCTAAATTAATTACTGACATCATAATCTTATTTTTATTTCTACTTATTTTTTGAAACCTTCTTAAATTTTGCCTTCAATTTTTGAAGACAATTATTATATTATGTTATTTTCTATTTATTTTTTTACATTATTATGGATTTATAAAAAAAACTATCTGGCTTCAAAATATAATTACTCCTGGTGTAAGAGTACTCTTTATTGTATAATTTGGTTAAATTTTTACTATCTTCAAAATTATTTAGATCTAAATACCATTGCAATTAATGATTATGTTTCTATTTTTTTTTTCTCATATGAGCTACATATATAAAATATATTTATTTCAAAGAAATTTTTATGTCGTGCATCGCACGGGGCTAATTTAGTTTTTAACTATAGATTACCGTGCATGGCACGGGATCTAACCTAGTTCAAGTAATAGCTGAATGGACTGACTTATTGAGGTCCAGAATAAGGATTGTTGATAAAATTAGAATGATGGGAAAACGCCCTTTAAAATTCTACATCTGTATAACAAGAAAAAATCTTTAAATATCTAAACATGCACATTCCATGTAGCATAGACATTCCCAAAGACATGACCTAGAATTAATAGGCAGACATTACAAATTTGTCGAGCTTCAAGGTTCAACAGATACATCCGGCCCAAGGTCATTTGAGATGTTAGCAACAAAGCAAATGCAAAATTTTATAGTTTTCAGAGATAATAAGTCAACCATCTGATTAAATGAAGCAAATATCTTAAGCATAGATAAAGAAGAGACTTCTTATCCAGAATAATACAAACTCCACTCTACTATGATGGCTCGAAAAATAAAGGCCAACAGTTTCAGAGTCATTTATTAAGTTTTAATTCTTGAGCTCAAGTCCTAATTATAACACATCAAAATTGATGTTGTACAGTAACTCAACACCATCATAATGATAAGAGCAAAGCACAGGCAAACTTTAGTAAATAATCTGAATAGAATCCACAAAAACAAACATTAACCATTATTAAATTTGATTGAGTTGATACAACCCTTACAGACATTGGTACTTCAAATCAATGCACTGCAAATATCTTATTGACACAATTAAACTCTAAAAAAATCAGGCTTATAGAACAAGTAGCAATCTTAGACTTAAAGAAGTTTTCTGTCTTATGGATGAAGTTAATTCAGGTAGCAATCTTAGACCTTGAATAAATATTGAAGTTCTACATTGATCCAAAAAATTGTTATACTTGCTTTGGAACACATCCTGATTCCTAACACAATAGACAGTACAGGACAGACAGGATCCTACAGCTGGCAGTGTTCCAGTGTCTAGAGAGGGGGGGGGGGGAGGGGGTGTCAAGTTCAACCTTTCTCTTTGACATTCAAGTTAAGAATTTAATCAAAAGTGCTCAAGTAAAACTACAGAATCAGAAAAATCTTATTCTCTCACATAGTCGCATAAAATGAATGCCTAACCACACTCACAAAACTTCTTCAATCATAGCTAACCACGTGGTAACAATTAGACAAAAAAAATGTTAGGACAATTATAATAGCATGCCCCTTCGCTACACTAAATGGTCTCCAAGTTAAAATAAACCATAGCTGCATTCTTTTCACCAGCTTTCTACAACACCATAAATTCCTAATCAAATTGTTTCTATTCTGTCAAACATTTTCTAAATCATTTCGATACTGATCAAACAGATACATCAATCACGAGTTCCTCTAACATACTCTTTAGGAATGAATGATACATGAACAAGCCACCACAATGAACACTTTCAACAGCAGAAAGCAGGATCGATAAAATTTCATCGAGATATAAAGGGAGATATCTTATTGGCCTGTCAAAATAAAACTTCAACCTCATTCCTAAGAAGGGAGTGAGTGCAATGCAAGACCAAACAAGTTTCTCTCTAACCTTCGGGCAGATGAATCCGTCTTTTAAGTTAAATCATTTCCTCCGCCCACCTCTAAACCCTAACCGATTTAGCCTCTCTAAGATATATATATGCACAACAACTTAATTCCTCAATACTACATTATATTGCACTTTCACCAGTAAAAGAGGATATCATATGAAACCCACTTGCCTAATTTCGTTCACAAGCTCAATTGAACTTGCAAACAACAAATCACACAGAAAGTTCGCAATTTCTATAAGGTACAAAACACACTCAAATGAACATCAAAAGGTTTTAATCTCTTCCAATTTGTCAAACCCAGAAATCACATTTTCTCTAAATCACTGTTTTTGCGACAGCATTCATGTAATAAAGCTAAAATCAAACAATTTCAAAGAAAAAATAACCCCAAATCAAACAAAACTACTGCTATTCACTTGTATAAAAATAAAATTAATCAAGCATACAATTTAAAAAAAAAACGAGTATTATGCATCCAAATATCCAATAAAATAACAACAATTACAAAAACCCAGATGGGAATTTACCAGAAAAACTACTGGGAAAACTATTTTTTTTTAAAAAAAAAAAAAATTGAGAAATGTACCTGTAATAATCTAGCAATTGGGTTTCAACTGGGGCAGAAGAAAATATCTGAATTAATATTTTTTTTTCAATGATTTGAGGAAAAAGAAAATATCTTAATATAGATAAATGGGGATTGAGGAAAATGGAGATAGGATGAAGAGATTGGAGAGAGAAAGAAGGAATCTAAAGAGTAATGAGCACCGTTTATGTCGCGTAAACCCACCAGCAAACTCTATAATTAAAGAAGATGCGTGGAAATTTTAGCCCTAATTAAAAATGGGGCACCAACACTTTTAAATCTTATTGCAAGTACATTCCACCAACCATTTTTTTTTTTTAGAACCCAGTACATTCCACCAACCATGTTAGGGTTTATTTGTAGTAATGTCGGTTAAATTAATTTTAGTGCTTATCTTTATCTTAGTTTTTATTAAAGAGCTTGTTTGGTTGACAAAATAAAATGGAGCAACTGAAAATTCATGGAAATTGACAAATTGGATACTTGTTTGGTTGACATAAAAAAACAAAAAAATTACCAAGGTTTCCCTTGGTTAATCAAAATTCATGGGAATTTCAACTTTCCATTGTCATAACCAAACAACTTTGAGAAATTTCTAGGAATTTCATGAGGATAATAACTTCCCATGAAATACAACTTCCTACGGGAATTTATTTCCCGTGTGAACCAAACGAGGCCTAAGATAAATTAATTTTTGTGTAACAATTAGAATTAGTAAGTAAAAAAAGGAGTTATTTAATATTGATTGTTGTGTTAGGAGGGTGAGAAAGATTGATCGGTGGAAACTGAGCATGTGATGTAATTACTCCCTACGTTACATATTATTCGCAACAAAGAAATATTGTATATCTCACAAATAATACTCCTTTGTTGCGAGTGATACGGAGGAAGTATTCAAGTATATACTTGTACTTCATATCATTAGTAATCAAATCCCGTATTTGGTTGAGGCCCTTGAAAAAGTAGAAACGAGAGTGAGAGTGGGAATTGAATTGAAATTGAGAGTAGGATAGAGATAATGACGAGGGAGCAAACTTATAATATAGTTTATAATTTTATCTAAGAATTAAGGATTATACTTGAAATGTATAGCGTTAAATCTGTTCTATTTTGCAATACTTGCTCTGTTTTTTTAGTTTACATGTATTGACAGTAGCATTATTTTTACAGTTTCCTTTACCGGGTTTTATAAAGTATACATAATGAAAAATCTAATCATATCGGATGTTGTTAAATTTGTCACGATATACATTTTCAAAATATCAACTTTATAAATTTTTTGTTTATCAAAGGAGGAAGTATCGTCATAAAGCCACTCTAATCATAGGAATATAAATACCGCCAAAATTATCAAAACCGCCAACATTTAGTGTGAATGGACAACCATACCCATAGACCATAGTACTTCACCACTATCTTTCCTCTTGTCACCAATCACTAACACTTTGACACCACCACCCCAATTGACGACAACACCACCACCACATTGATCGGCGACGACGACCACCACCACCACCCTGACCGGTTACCGTGCGCAATAACCGGAGCCCAAAACTGGTTACCATGCACGGTAACCGATTTTGGACTCCGATTACCGCAGTTGCTTGAAATAAAAAAATATTAAACCACCACCTTCCCGCCGGCGAGGGGAGGTGGTGGGTCGTCATAGAGGAGGGTGTGATTGGTCGCCGGTCAGGGTGGTGGTGGTGGTCATCACGATCGGAAGAGGTTGTGAGTCGCCTGGAGGATAAGGGGTGGTGAAATAGTAAGGGTATGATTATCCATTCACACTAAATATTAACGGTAGTGATCATTTTTGTTGACAGTGTTTAGCAATCGCATTTGGAATGTATTCTCCATAGTCCATTGACAAATCTAGGAGTGACTAATCCAAACCATATCCCACCCCCATGATTGAAAATTGCACATTTTATAATTGTAGTTTGAATTTCATTGGTTCAGCACATGTAACTGGATTTTTTTAATCCAAATTATTATGTTAGGTTCGATGTAGTGATTTTGGCCTTCTTTATTCGAAAAAACAATATTCAGTTATTAGTTTATTACAATTCTGTGCATGGCGAAGACGCGGAAGCCAAAGTTCTTTTTTTTTTTTTTGGAAACTTAAGCCAAAGTTCATGATAACAAAGGATAATTGATACGCAAATGACTTTACTGATTCCTAAGTTCCCATTTAATACTACATAATTGGATATTGGTCCATCAAAAATTCAATTGCTACAAAATGGCATGATTACCTTTGAAAAATAAATGAAGTACTTCGTATGTATTTTGGCAGTACCTGTAAATCACAAGTTCACAACAGTAACCAGCTAAACATTCAGACGTGATTCGGGGTACGATGATATAATACTAAACCACAAGTGCACAACCCTCAACGTTTCTCAATGACCAAAACTACGTACTCCTGTATTACAAGAGCACTAACAAGCTAAACAGCCAAATAGAGCTGAACTCCCAAGTCCAAGACTCTTGAGGTCACTTTGCTTTCACAGTATTTGGAGCCCATATATGTAGAGTAAACAAACTGCACTTGCGTAACGTCTTTAAAGGACTGCAAAGTAAGTATATCTTTATCATCGAGTACAATCCAGAATGAACTAGCTTAAGGTTGTAGCATGAAGGTTAGAATACCTGCAAAACCTTCAAAAGCAGAACCAAACCTAATACGAAGTAAAATTTATCTAGCATGGATCTTCATAAAACAATTGCCATATCCCATTATATCTGGATCCAAGAAAACATGGTAGATTGTTAGCAAGCATGTATAGGCAAGGCAAGACCAAAAATAAGAACAGATACAAATGTATCCACAACTACGGAAAATTTAACTTGATCTTCCAAGGAACCCAAATACAATAGCATCAACTATACAGGATCACCAGAAATTTATTGTTCTAGCACTGCATTACCATATAATACCTGATGAAAAAAGGACAAAAATGAAACACTAGAAAAGTTTGAATCCCGCATAGGCATCCACTACATCACGTTCACAAGAACTTTTCTATGCTGGAGGTTAAAGTAGACTTGGGAACAGCACCAATAATTGCTTCTTTCTTCTCGCCATTCTTGAAGATTATAACTGTGGGAATGCTTCGGACACCATAATCAGAAGCGATGGTTGCACTCTCATCAGTGTTCACTTTGAACACCTTCAGCTTACCAGCAAACTCCTTCGATAACTCGTCAATTACAGGCTGGACAATTCTGCAAGGTCCACACCATGGAGCCCAGAATTCAACCATGACAGGCAAATCAGATTCCAGGACTAAAGATTTCCAGGTTTCTTCATTTACAGAAGGCACTGCATTCCTCCATCCAAAAGAAGTATAAGACAGGGTGATGTTTCTTTAAGTATATACTAAAACCAAAGTTAAAAATAAAAAAAAAAAAATAAAAAAAAAAAATAAAAAAAAAGAACATAATACCACGTATCTTTTACTTAGAAACTTGGGCATATTATTAAGCAATACTCTCAAATATTCAATACAATAGCTAAAGATGTCAATTTAAAAGAAAATTTACAGTGTTGTGTAATTTGCTGGATCTAAGTGAAAGGATAAATGAGTTCCCAACATCTTTTAATCTCCACAGCCTCCCCCACAGTTACTTGCTTGACTAGTGAGGAACAGGGAACTTTGTACAGAAGAGATGGGGAAAAAAAGCAATAAAAAAGAATCGGTCACTGATATTAGTTAAACTGATATTGGTTGTAAGCAAAGAATTGTGTTTGCAAATAAATACCAATAGGCTATAAGCCTATAATCATCAACCCTCAACTAAACTGGTTGCTTTCCCAAAAAAGAGAGGCAAACCTTAGAAGAACATTTAAAGCAACCCATAAAGTGACTCCAATTTAGTTCCACATACTCCAGACCTCAAGCCTGGTTGAAAGAAAAGATGCCGGTAACAAAAAATTGGAAAAATTATAAACCCTAAGACCCTCTCCAATGGTGAGACTCAAGTAAGTATTTTTAGGAAAGAGATAGCATTTTTTGCAATGTATACCAATAAGTTAGTACCTAAACTTAGCAACTCCAAAAGAAAGTTGCTAAGTTTAGATACTCAACTTTGAGTCTTATTTGACAAAAAGTGTGGGCCCCTTGGCAATATTCTAATATATTTTGTAATTTATTTAAGTTTTACTTTTTTTTATTATTTTTTAATCTTACAATAATTGATGGTCCATAAATTGAAAGTAACATTTGTATATTTTAGAAAGTCTCACCATTGGGGAATTAGACTTTACATGAGTTGCTAAATTGAGAAGTGGGTATGGTCTCACCATTGGAGGTAAAAAACAACTCATTTTGTATTTCAATACTCAAAGTTGAGTCTCACCATTGGAGATGGTCTAATTAAGTGACTTCAATTTATCTAGTTTTTGAATCAGTTTCAGTTAGATGTCTTAGGAAGTGTGTTTGAGTGCTTAAATGAACCTTAGAGTGGGAAATAGAAATATTACAAATAAGAGCATTACACCTCCAACATACTTGACACTTACAATCACCCCATAAACCTCTAACAAGTAGAAAAATAAGAAAATAATATCAACATACACAGAACACAGCCCAAAAGAATCCCCCCAAAAGACCTACAACAGGTTTAAAAAAAACACCTAGTCCAAGGCTCAAAGACATGCCAATATTTTACTCAACCTTCTTCTAGCAGCGGTAGAATAACAAATAGTAAGGTATGCTAAGCAAATCAACATAGCAAGGGAGCGACAAAATTACCTAGTAAGTATTGCCTGATTCATTTGTAGTATGAAACTAACATCATTGTAACACTATTTGATCAAAGAAAAACTAACATTGACTCACAAGAATAGACTGCATTTGTTTTGGTGGGCAAAGCTCATTAACTTTATCCAAAATATTTCCCAAGATGTATCCTATTTTGTAATGTGAAGATTTCTAGGCGTACTTAACAAAAAAATTCACACTCTGTCACTCGATAGATATAATATAATATGATGACAGATATTTACAATTAAATTTCAAAAGATTCAACTATCAACGTCAAAGATGGCCTGTTAATATTATCTTGTAACAAAGGGAGTAATAAGATGGTACCTACAAGGCTACAAGTGATGCTGGAATTACTTCATATTTTCTATTTCCTATAAGGTTATGTTTGGATTGGGAGTAATGAATTGAGTAATAAAAGTCAAACTAGGAAAAGCTTAATTATGTGATTAGAGATGGTGTTGTGGAAGATAAGGTGTTTAAATAGAGTAGTTATGACATGAGGAAAAGAGAGAAAAGGAGGAATCATTATTCTCACAATTAGAGTAATAGTTACCCACCCTTCCCCTAGTGTAACTACACTATTTCCCTGAAAATGGGGGTAATAGTTCTTCTTCCTTTACCTCTCACCACACCATCACTACATAATTTCTCTTACAATCACACCATCACTCTCTATCCTTTATATTTACTTGCATTTTGTTCAGTTTGACTTTTATTACCTTAGTAATGCATCCCTCTCAATCCAAGCATGCCATAAGTATATATTATTATAAACTCTCTCTAGCATTCATAATAATGGATATCTCCAGATATTAATATATATTATATAAACTCTCTCTAACATTCAAATTAATGAATAACTCCAGAGATTAAACATCTTTTTCATAATTGTAGATGTCTAAATGTATTAATATTATTTGAAAAAAGAAAAGGTATTCATGGAATATTTTAGATATAAGGTAAAATATGGCATAGATAAATTAAGAAAATATGTAATTATTTATTACAGTGAAATTATAGGTAATAGTGTAATACTTTGAAATTTGATATTGCATTCTGCCAAACTTCCCAAATTTTATGGTTCTAAAGAGTAAATTTACAAAGGCCCCATAACTCAAGTAGAATCTTCATTCAAGAACACAATATCTTTTTTGGCTTGAGAACTATCATATTTCCTTACGAAAGATAGAAAGCATGAAAAGATCAAGAATCAAGACAAGTCGTGGCCCTTCAGTACTACTAATTTGAAAGAGAGGGAGAGAAAGATTAAGTAATAGAACAAATGAACTCTTGTATAGCTCAAGTGACCTATGTTCATATAGCTCAAGAAAGATTAACATTGGTACACTTCTAATTTATGATGTCCAAAAAATTGCTATTTACTTTCCCCAATAGCATCCACTCGCCATGTTTCTAGTACAACGGTACTACATTTTCCTACTAGGCTATAAATCTGTTTTCCTTCACTATTATTTCTACAATTCTACGAAACATGCACGTCCTTTATCATAGCATAATGCCCAACAAAAGAAATCTTGTGACATTCTTAAGCATCCAAGTTCTGCATACACAACATTTTAACAGGTTACCATAGATATTCCTAGGAACTTGCTGAGTATTGCACTCCAATAAGCTTATTACAGTCACTATCACAATATATCTACAATATATATTCTGAGAAAAGGTGTAAATAGCCAACACATGATACTACTCAACTTCGAATTATAATGGATAAATAATTACTTGGTTGGCAGGTTGGAGAAGGTGGGCAACTATTGATCATCTAATGAAGAAAACTATTCAGGTGCCCAAGACTTAAGCTTCAAGCTTGGAGAAGATGTGGCACTTTTATTCTTTCAGCAAAAATCCCAAAGGCTATGTTTTCACTTTAAGAACATGTTTAGAACGACAAAAATAAACGGATTCAGGGATCAAATTCCTTCATCTGCTGTTTGGTAGGTACACATTGATAACCAATTCCATTACTTGAAGGTATCTGACTCCTCTCAACTACAGTCATTCCTCCACCGACAGTAACAATTCAATAATTCATGATTCCTAAAACTAACCTGAAATCCTCTAAACTGAAAACCTCCCTCCTCCTATCTCCATCCTTAGATCCTATTCTCTATATATCCTCACCCAGTGACCCTTGTCCCACTTCTCTCTTTCTTTCATATTTGAATTTCAAATTAGTTGAACATTATCTTTTTGTCACCTAATTTTACTATAATATATGGACCTTATTTTGTTGTGTTTAATGCCTTTGCTAGCAGAGGAATCTAGATTATACTTCATACTAATGATTCCATTTCATTTCTTAGCTGAACAACTAACCAAACACTACATTAAATTATTGGCTCTTTCTAGTGTAGGAATGTAATCATAGGAGCATATGTTACTATTACACACATAGTCCAATCGGTCAATTGCTGAATCTTTCATCAGAATTAGAGAGAAAAGGATAAGTGGTCAATAATTGATAGGGAAATTAGCTTCTCACTATATGTACACCGACAAAATCACATCAAAACCTCATAAAACTAGACCAGGTGAAATGTACAGCTTATACTCAATCAAATCAATTCCAACAACACAACTTCAGTCTTCCTATGCCAGAGTCCAATATTTCACCTTCTACTTCAGGATGGTCAAACTATCAAAGGACTCCCAATGCTTACAACAATATCTCTTAGTCTAATTTCTACTCGTAACTATAATGATATTAATTATTAAGAATGTAACGCAATTCCTCCATATTATTTGATACAAAACACGGACATATTATTCAATAAGAAGCCATAACTTTGACATTGTTTTCTCACAGCAACTCAAGATCAATTCAGAATAAAAACTTGAAGCACAATTGAACATTGAATTAATCTATTCCTATATCATAGTATTCTCATCAATTATTGACTCCTCAGTCCTCATTTCCTAATCTCAAGCTAAATCTCGCCCATTCAATCTTCACTTTGAAAATTTTCGATCATTTTAGAGCTGACATTTAGGTCACAGTTCATTGTATACTTTCCATATCATATCTACATTCAGAATAAAATTCCAGGCCATATAGAAACTGAAATTTAGGTCATAATATCACTATTATCATATTTATGCTCAGCGATCAATTTTTACATTTGAAATTGAAATTGTAAATCATTCTATAGGTCATATATCACAGTATACTCATCGAAAAATTCCTAAATTCAGAATCGAAATTGAAATTTCAGAACATTCAAAGCATCGTAAACGCCCAAACCAAAAACCTAGCAACAATCAATCCAAACTCCAAAAAACAATAACTAAAATGGAGAAGAAATTATATCTCACATTGAAAAGCAGTATCAGAGCTCTCGCAAACGATTCGACCAGAACGAGGAACGATTCTAGCGAGCGAACTAACCGATCTAACAGCACGTGTCGAGAAATCGGAGCTGATCTTCAAGCCTCTGAACTCAGGTAATTTGAGAGAAGAAACTGAGGAAGAAGATGAAGTAGAAATCGGAGATAATATAGCAGAAGGAAAAGCTGAAGCTCGAGGAAGAAGGAGAGAATCAAGCATAATCGCCATGAAAATGGAAATGGAGGAGATAGAAAAATGGAGGAGAGAGAAAGAGATCAGCGTGTAGAGAGAGAAAGTGGGGATGTGGAAATGTGATGTGGTAAGTGGGAAGTGGATGAGGCAAGGTATTAATTGTGTTTGTTTTTTTGGTATTTAAATTTTGCTGTTTTAAGGAAGTTTTTTTTGGAATTAACAATAGCACACAGGAAATTTACAGATTCTACGATCGCAACGGAAGGGAAAATTTTAAATTTGACAAATCTGTTGAAATTGACATCATTAGTGGTTTCCTGGACTATGACGATGATATTGGTCGGGCCGATCAGTTTACGATAAGATATTAAATAGCCATGTTTTATGGATCACCTTTTATTGGAAAAAGTAAAATAATATTCGACATGATTAATGAGTTTGTGATATATTATGTGTCACAATAGACCACGAATCCACGATAAAATAAGTGATATTTGGGTTAAACCTACAAGCATGAAGTGAGTATTTGTTTGAAGCTTTCATGATGTGGGACGAATCATATGCTACCAAATGTGTTAAAGATCTCGACATAGAAGATGATAATCCTATGTATGTCCATTACAAAGATAGTAAAGACAATGAGGGTGGTCTACAAGATATGATGATGGACGAGATCATGGATTTCTGAGCCCACAACTACAATCATGCAATCTACTATAGCCATATTTTTTATCTTCTGTATTTCTTTTGAAAAAATCTTTGTAAAAAGTTATGGTTCTCTATGAACTTGGTGAGTCATGAGTGCCGGTAGAAGTTAAGAATCTTTTGCTATATTAAGGATGGTAGAATAAATCCTGATTTAAAAACCCTAGCCTCTCTTTCCTCTCTTCTCTCTCTAAAATTCTAGTCTCCATTGTTGAATTTTGGAGGGGCTTCCATCGATTTTTATCGGTGGAAAGCCCCAATCGTTTGTTTTTGTGTGTTTTTTCTATTGTTTTAGGTTTATAATAACTCTTACTCTTCTAGGAGGAATATTTCTCCCTCGAAAGACAGGGTTTTTCTTCTTCTATAGGAGGATTTGGCTACTTCGAAAGATCGGGTTTTTCTTCTCTCTTTCGAGGGAGGATTTGCTTTTTTGTTTCATGGATTGCTATAGAGTTGTTTCATGGGTAAAATTTTGTGCGGGATCGAAAAAGTGGTTAATATTTCGATTACAATCCGGCGAATCAGGTGGAAAATTTCTGCACGGATACAACAGATCAATAGACCCCCTCACCGATGAAGGCTGTAAAACACAACGATGATATGAAAGAGGGTATGAAGAATGTACAATTTGCAACAACGATCGTAGCTTTGCTTACGGAATGTTTTTATTTGATTCAATTATTATGTATTTATTAGATTAGATCTATATCTCTTTGTAGATGTCGTATGATTTTATTTATGAATCAATAAAAAAAGGATGGTAGAATAAGAAGAAAGACAGAGTTGAAGGAGTTAGCTAGAACATTTCTCATAATACATAGAGTCCTCTAGAAAAAACTACTCCCTCCGTGTTTTTTTAAGTGTTACGCTTACCAAATGTGATCGTGTTTTAATAAGTATTACACTTCTTTTTTTTGGCAAAAAGCTACATTTAAAATATTATATCTCTCTCCTCTTATGGTCCCCATCCAAACCCACTACTATTTTTTTTTATTATATCTCTCCTCTCATATTCATTATTTTTTAATAAACTATTAACCCCACTACTTTCTTTTACAACTTTTTTAATATTCCAACTATCCCACTTACCTCTTATTTTATTTAAGTCAATTAAATTGCCTAAAATTATGTGCCGATCAAACTGACACTTAAAAAAACACGGAGGAAGTACCACCTTAAGAGAGAGATTGGTTCTCCATCTCTCTTAAAGTAGAGCAACTCTAGTTTAGTTTATGTCTGTTTAAGCTTTCAGTTTGTGTATTGTAATTTGTAAGATATGAGTGTTGTAATCTTTCCTTATTAAATAAAAAGTTTTCTTTCAAGAGGTTTTCTATTTAATAGTTCATCAAAAACACAATATATCTTGTTTAAGTAGAGATTACGGTCTAAGGTAGAAAACGAATTAGATCTGTGTTGAGCCTGATGTAAGGAAGGCAGGGTTGGGTTATCTATCTTGGTAAAGCCGGAAGCTAAAGAACGCTTGAGGTTCTATTGCCAACTAAGTTCAGGTTTTGGTCAAAACTTTCTTATCAAACAGTTATTATTGCGAAGTAAACTTGAAAAGAGGATTTATTATGAAATATAAGTAGTAGAGTATAGATAACTAGTAACATAAAAGTGAATTTGTATTGATTAAACGCTAAAAACCATATTGTTTGTACTAGTTTAGATATTGTCTTGATAATATTTATCTTATCATTGTTAGTATTATTATTGTCATTTGCTCATAATATAATATCACAAAAGGACAAAAGTTGCCAACAAAAGGATAAAAGTTGTGCTGGTCCATACACGGTGCTGGGTTGAGCCTGGCTCATCAGCTCATGTGTGATTTGTGAAGTATCCATATCAAACGTTGCTCTTAAAATTTCATGATTGGGCTATGTCAATCATTCAAAAATAAGAAAATTCAATTTGAATTTATTGAATTTTGACTTACCTACTGTCTGATATGTTGGACTTTATTGAACACTCAGATCAGATTTATTTGCTTATTTTAGGCATTTAGCACGCATCAAATTTCAGAAAATCAAATTTATAGGACCACCCTTTTTTTCATTTTTTTTTGGGTAATTTAACTTAACTTAATATTGGCAGGTAGCTAGAAAAATGTGTTTCTCATTAAAGTACAAAATAATATACTTTTTCAGAAAAAAAAAAAAAAACACAACACAATCTACTTCCCAAAGGGTTGAATTATTTGAGGTCATCAAAAGTATGAATGTATGGTGCATTAAAAATTCTTATGATACATTAATACGTACCACAAATTTTCTTATAGATAATCATATATACGAACTAAATTAATACAAATTCACTAATAATTAAAGGTAAGGAAAAAGGAATATTAATAACCCTCCTCACAAGTGCTCTTACCTTTGTTTCTATAATTGAAACGGATTAGTTTCTAACAAATTATTCCATAAAATGCTCGACCATTGATCCTAATGATCCTTGTTTAATTGATTCTAAAAGTTCAAATTTAACAAGTTACTCCTTTTTATTAAACGACAAAACTTTTTTACTTTATTTTTGAAAGCACAAACTTTTTTAACTTTGTTGGATAGGAAAGGTACATAAATTTGCTGGTTTTGTTATGTCACATGTGCATGATCATTTTAGATGATGTTAGTTTTGCTTGGAAAAATTGTAGGAGTCTCAGGGTATGTTATCCCTTATCCTTTTACTAACTCGTCGAGCACTTGTGTGTTGGTTATCTTGGATGTTCATGGTCCTATGCTCTATTTGGACTCGGCCGCAATGATTTGCGCTTTGCTCGGGTGAGTATCTTGAAGTCTAATGTCAGTAATGACGATCTTAAGCAAAACATAAATCAGTTGGTAAGTCTATCGACAACAGAATGAATTTAAAGACATAATAACTGATGAATTTAAGGTAGATGTTTCGGAAGAGAATGCAGTAAAATCATTCAAGAGATTTATAGAAACACATTACAAATCCTGTTCACTGATTGGGTTTCAACATATCAATGACAACAAATTACACACCTCCATCTCAAACGGTTTTATTACATCGTGTATAGAGATAGAATTGAAGCTAACAAGAAGCTATGCAATCCACTATAAGCTGAGTAGAAACTGTCAAAAAGGTTTCTTCACACAATTCTCACCTATCTTACTTTTTATATTCAGTGAAAAAAAAAAATCCAAAGTTGTTCATCGACAAGTATGTTCTTCTCTTCAATTGTCTAAAGCATAAAGACAGCAAGAAAAACAAACCTCACTAAAATCACACCAAGTCAGTCTGTAATTCTGTGATGCACTCTTGTAAAACTATGATAAGTTCTTTTCACGCATGAATCTTTCTATCTTTTCTACATCTTCAGGAACATCGACTCCATGAGCTTCATGCTCAACCTTTATAACCTGTGGATTAGAGATATCAAAGAATGAATATTTGAGTTCAAAACTCAGAATGCAGCAATGGAAAAGGGTGATAACACAATGACCCATCAAACACTGTCGTATTTATTATTAATCTCTTTTGACAAAAAGATTAACAATAGATATTGTTAATTGAATGTACATGTTTTTAATAGTATTCTAGTACTCCAGTACTTTGTAAGAGATGCACACCAGAAAATATTAGAAAAGAGATACACTCTCTTGAACCAATCGATTTACAGTCCATGCTCAACAAAGACAAATTTGAATCAAAAGCTAAATCAGTTATTATTTTGTAATTTCTTGATACGGAGACACATCAACTTAAGCAAAAATATGGATTATAATATATAAACGAATTTGTAACATGATGAGCACCTCCTCCTCCACCCCCCCCCCCAGCCACCACCACCACACACACACCAACCTTCAGTTTATAGCCGTTCTCAAGGACTTTGAGTTGTTCCAGATCTTCTTCTAGTTGCAATGGTGTAGGTGGCAAATCTGGATATATTTTGAGGAATTCAGCATCATAGCTCTGTAAATACATGGAAAAAAAAAGTGTCATAGACATACAGAAATAGAAGGATCTAAATTAGTCTGTACTCCTCTAACGGTATCATCTCTGAAAGGCAAATTCAACGTATCAATGCCATACCTGAATACCAAGATGGAGCAAATATGGGAAATCCGGATTAACCTGCCCAGATCTAGAAGAACAGGCACAAGAAAAGTTCATTAATAGAGCAAACAGAAACTATGAAATTTTAGGAAAAGATATAGATCAGAAACAATACTTGTTATATGGGATGAGTCCTCTGGAGAAGTAGATAGCATAACCAAGATTATCAACAACACATTTCACACGGTTTGTGTCAAAAGCATCCCCAGGCTTTAAAGGTGTGACAGCAGTGCTGAAGACTGCATCTGGGGCAGACTGCAAGGATCAGGAAAGTATATATAAGACAAACCTTACAAATATGAGCCTGCTTATTATCACTTGGCCAAGAAAGCATATGAATCAGATTTTTCAGTGTGGCAGCAAATACAGGGAAGCTTACGAGCAAGAATGCCCTAGATTCACATAATAATAGGATGATCGGAATTGAATTTAGTGCACAAGAATAACAATAATGTACTCCTATGTTCAGAAACAATAATGCTTTTGACACAGAGGGTAGGAAAAGAAATTAAGGTGGATTTTACAGTCAGTATATAGACATAGTGGACATCTGTT